AGAGGTGGCTCTCATGGCTCGAGTGGGCTAGTGGATAGTGCATTAGCGTTTTGAACTACGAGAACAGGGTTAGAAACTTGATAAGGACACCATCACTCAATGGACAATGCATCCAGTTGCATCCAGTAAGGAGCCCCAGGTAGGAAGAAACGCGCATCCTGGATTCCCTTGCGAGTCATTCCTTTGAACTTGATTTGCTAATTCATTTCTCCCGCTAGGTTTATTTTGACCTCATTCCCCTACCCATCATGTGTGACCATGACCTATATTGAAAGAGAATCGTGATCACTTATGATCTGTTGCCTTTGTCTATATGTATGATGATCAACTGTGGGATCAGCATGTCGGAAATGTGTTGCACAACTGAATATTACACGTTTAAGATATAAAACGTCTTCATACTATTCTGTTCAAGAATATAATAATTTGTATATCCATGAACGTTGGAGTACAATAGCTGGTAAAGGCATACTGAAGTTATATCCGAAACTTTATAATGATACCAGCATAAAATGAAATGTCCAACCGCATATAAAAAGGTATGGTCAATAAGAAACTGAAATTGAATCCTTCAATGAAGCGTTTGAAGATTTATAATCAAAAAGAGGCAAACTGTTGTCAGTGATGTGAGAGACAAGGGGGATACTACAGAAAAAGTAAACAAATAGCATAGTTCGATATACGTTTAAGGGAGGAAAACTAACAATAATAATGCTGAAGTAAATAGAATACTGGTGTTATGTAAACACTATGATACTGTTTGATTGATGGCGACTAGCATTGGGATCGAAGAAGCTCATTTCATCCATTTTCAGACTCGTCAGCAACCCTCATTGGTTGATGACTTTTCCACTGAGATTTGAACCCAGTACACACCGTTGCAGATGCGAAAGCGTTATTCACTTGTCCACTTTGGCCGCAGGATTCACATTTTATGTCATAGGTATCGCTTATCATTTGTTCTCAGTTAATTTTGCATTTCCAGTAGACTGATGACATAAGACTGATATATTCTATTTCTGTTGGCATGCAAGTGGTACTTTTACTGAACAATTACCAGGTTATGGATAATTCAATAAAATGAAAAGTAAAAGATCGTGTAAAAGCAATGACAAATGCTTAAATTTAATGTCCCAAAAAGTTAACTTTATGGATGAAAGCCATTAATTGTTCTTTTCACTGGATAAGTTACAGTATTCTACATAAATTCCCCTAATAATCACTTCAAATAAATTGAATATCCTTATGATATGAAGTTACATTGTTCGCATATTTGAAAAAAATTCCTTGTGCAATAGTCAAGAGATTTTATAATAATTATTATATTATTATTGTTTCTTTTAATTCCCCATAGGATTAAAGGGGCCTTACGTCTCTATTGCGTTCAGTTCTCTACCAACGCTTTCACCTGGCTCTACGTCTGCCTCATGATAGTGGAAAGAGGGTACTTTTCCTTCAGAAATTTAAAGTTTTATATCCCCTTTACGGATTTCAACGAAATATTAAGAAGCCTTAGTTATAAAAATTGCTTGAACATGTGATATGTGTTTAAAAATCATCTTCCGTTACTTTGAACCTGACTTATCGAAGTGATTTTAGATCCAAGGTTCATTTTACTTACAAATATTCCCACAACTGGTTATTGTGACTCATTCTCCTACTCGTTGTCTATAACCATGACCCAGAAACATTTTGTCCCATAGTGAATGACAATTATGATCCTTTATGATCTGTTGTCTTTTTGTATTTGTATGATGAATAATTGTGTTATCAGAATGTCGGAAATGCGTTGCACAAATACATATTACATGTTACAAGTAAATTACGTCTTCCTAATGTTTTGTCAGAAATTAGGAAAGGAACTAATTACTATATCCTTGTCATTTTTAATGTACCTAAAAGCTTCTACTTATTATTTACACGTTAATCAATCTTTGGTAGCCTGCTTGAAACTTGGGCTACCAAAGACCTATATCACTTGATTGCATAGAATTCCGTTTGGTTTCTTTGATTAAATCGACTAAATTGTGAACCCTGTTGACAGTATATTCTCCCGCGAGTATTTAAAGTGCTTATAACCTGCGATAAAGCGTGGTAACATCATATCCCAATACATGAGATGACTGTTCTGGTGTTATACACTCGGGTCTTAAGATGTACTGGTTCATTTATTTATAAGTGCCTTTCAACCAAATACCGTGCGATTCTCGAAGGAGACAAGACAGAAGTGTCATAATGAATTGGACTGTACTTCAGGTCAGACAGCACTATGTCACATGGTCTACTGTCGACTAACATTTTATTTGGAGATCCTGGACGAGCAGAAATTATCAAGAAATAATCTCCTTTGAAAAAATTCTGTACATCATATAGACAGTGTTCGGAATAATGATATCATTATTGTTACGAGTTTATCAATGTAACGTACCGTTATACCTTTCACTCTTATCATTCCAGGTCACAGCAAAAATACGAGATATTCATCATGCTTTGCTTTTCTGTCTGTGATCTACCAGATATTTCTAAATATTTGTTGGTATAACCACTTTTGTTCATTACTATTTTCATCATATGTTTCTCCACTGCTTATCACTGGTACTAAGAAAAATATTATCATAGCCAGTAGTTTAATTCATAACTGTCATCCTGTTAACAACTCACTACGTGGTTCAGAGGTAAAAGGCTTGGAAACAAGGCATGTGGTCTGTGCTTCGATTCCCGACTAATTCACTCCTACACCTCATCTAGTCTGTGGTAAGCCAGAATAAGAGGAAATATTGGGCATGAGACTTGCAACCTTATCCCATATACCTAAATAACACCGCCACTGATTTCCACAGCTCTAACTTGAAGCCCCATTTTCCGCAGAGAAGGAGAACACATGAAAAAGAATTGTTTCTGTAAAAGCCTTTTATCTGGTAGAAGGCAATAATATTTGCAGTCATAGCCTATTTTCAACTTCTGTTCATTTAGTGGGTTTCTACCAAGCTTTTTCCGCATGTCTCATTTCTGTGTCTAATGGTATACACCCATCGATAACTGATGGCGTATTTCTGTTATTGAATATTTGTGGTCTTGTCAGTAGAAAAAATATGAAGTCAATTTAGACTTCCATTATGCTTATCTCTTTTTATTTTTGACAAGAATGTAAAAATAAGTCATTTAACATGATTAATGGCAATCTATCGAATTCTGTTCCAAGCATTTTAATTAGTCTTATTTATGGATCGAATTCAATTGGTAAGAAGTCTGTGAGACATATATATATATATATATATATATATACATTTCAAGGTGGGTGTTAGTAGTTGAAAGTCAATCACTGTCTCAACATATACTGCTTACTGAATCAGGTTGTTTCAGGAAGTAAGTGAAGCAGGTTTCATTATTACTGTGATTGTGAAAATATATATGATCCTGGCGAAAGCGTGATCTGATTTGAAGCCGTATTTAAAGTCTTCTTCTTCCTATATCTCGGAAAACACACATCAGATAATAGGAAATAGTAAAAGGACTATTGTGGCGAAGAAAATCTTCCTCTCGACGAAGTTAATCAAGACTACATTATCCACATATGGTCGGCCTGCAAAATTTGGGCTACCGATATCCATGCTGAAAATTCCATACTTGTACCGAAAATACAGTGTGGAATCAAGCTGTAAATCAAAAATTAAAATTAAAAAAAACTTTATAGTAAATGGGTATAAAGGTCCCGGAAATATTCGCGGTCGTGGGTCAGATTGATAGAATGGAAAATAGAGGTTAAAATGTAATAATAAAAATGAAAGTCGGATAGAAAAACTTTTAATTACTGAAGAAACTAACCCTACATATGCAAGCAGAGAATGAAAATAGAGAATAGCGATTGAGAAGGGTAAAAATAGCAGAAATAAACAGGAAAGTTGGATAATAAAGGTGGGGCTGACATTTTATGATGGCTATGTTACAGACGACGGTTGGATACATTTCTTCCGAATACATAGCACAGGCCTGACGTTCGAGATGGCTGTTGCCTTAGCCACAGCTAGATGCCACAGTCTCACTCTCATTGGAGAGGTTCGATAGCATGTTGCGGATGTCTTTAAGTGACTTTTGGAATAAGGCTATGTGTCCCTTACTATACAAAAAAAGTCTATTTCTTGAGTATTTATGATCCTGCTATGTTTTTTATTTGATAACATTTCAATCCCCATTCCCAATTTTATTAACATGACCTTTGACTGGGAATAACTCTGAGACCTTCTCACTCATTTACTATAAATAGACGAACTTATAGTGCATCTAATTCTATTTGGACTCTGTCATTGGTTAGTTTGACCGCAGTATTCTGCTTCTGTTGACATATCTGCACCTTGGGCCGATGGATCTTCTATCTCTCACTAATTTACTTTGAAGTAATTCAGTGGTTGCCCACTGGCAGTGGAATTCAAAATGCGCGAAATTTAGAGTCAATGAGTTTGTAGAAAAAAATTTCTTCTCTATAACCATCCTTTGCTTATCTAAAATATGTTTACACTAACACTATTAATTTTGATGCACTTTCTTCATCACAGCATTAAGCCATGATATCAGTGTCTGTTACCTGTCGTTTTTATGATGGTAAAACTTATGGTTAATCACTTTTGCAATTATTATTTCATGGTATTTGTTTATATATCTAATATTATACTGTTAATTCCAGTGTTTATTCAAATTATTATTATTTTTTTGGAGGAACAGAAGGAGGGAGAGAAAAACGGTTGGGTATTATCTTCAGTTTGCATTAAAACTCCGTTTTGATTGATGTTTGCTATCAGTATTAACTAGATAAAGTGATTTGGTTAATTTGAATTTCAATGGTTGAAAAAAATTGGGCTATGATTAATTACTTTAGTTTTACATGCATATATATATATATATTACCGTGTAATATTTGAATTTTCCACAATTTTTGTTGTTTTTGTTGAGTGAACCATTTGTGCTTAGTTTCTTATTTCGCATTCGCCTATTCTCTTTTTTAGACTGTCGATGTTACATATTTAACAGTGGGATGCATAAATCTGGTACATTTAAAACACCATTTTATCCAAAAAAGTATCCATATGAATTGGATTGTTTAATGTATCGTTTTCAAGGACTACCGACAGAACTGGTCAAGCTTACATTTTGGAGTTTCAGTTTAAGAAAGCCTATTGATAAAAAGTGAGTTAACGTGTTCCTAACAGAATTACACTTTAATGTAAAAATAAAAACTTTAGACCAATCCGATCTGTAATTTGTGAATTAACCTTGAGATTTGTGATCGTGTTTGCACAATTTTTTGTGTAAACAAATTTAAAAATGTAAAGTCTCATGCTAAGTACAATTTTCGTCAGGCTTTGTTCTATCAGTAAAAAGTGGAAAGGAGATTTTTACGTCCTTGATAATTCTGCCGGCGATTCACCTCATTAATGAGCTTTCACATATATATTCTAAGAGCCTCTTTTCGAAAAAATAATTTCCTTTGACTTTACGGTGGCAACTTAAAGCTGAATGTTCCAAAGTCATCCGTGGAGAAAAAGAAACTTTATATGAACTCTGATTTCAAAAGTCAGCGGTTCGATGAACTTTTAAAGGGGAGAACTTAGTTCTCTTTAAGAAGAACCTTCTTCTCAGTGACACTGAAATTATTGTTCTCCAGTCGTCCATTGGTATGCAAAAGCCTAAAGGACAAGATCTAGCAAACGAACACTTCTATGTGTATATATTAGATTATCTGTTCTTGTGAAGCCACATGTATCGGTCTTCCAGCGCAAAAGCTATCTTAAAGGGTTCAGCAACACTATTTCTCATGGTTAACAAAAGTAGCAGCAACTTTATAAGGAGTACAATAACAAAACACTCTGTAGACACTGGTCATGGTATCTCAACAGACTCCTCCTTTAAGATGATCTACAGAGTGAATTGTTGCCTGACTAAGACGATTTGCTTTAACCTTCCTGGCAACGTTGAAGCTCTAGTTATCCAGTTGGAGAAACCGGAGTGGTGCATAAAAAATGAATCTGTTCTTCTATTATCCTGGCAAGGTATCTATAATTTCTAGCCTGAAAGATTTACTTATTTTGTTTATTTGACCTCTTTTGGGTCATCTTTTCTCCAGAATTCTTAGGTAGCGTAAAATTTCCATTGTTTCCATGTGCACTCTGACTACCTTATTTCACAATAATTATCCAACTTCTCATGTATTCTGGTTAATAAAAACAACTATACTTTTTAGGATCCATCCCTTTCTTACTATGAAGATTCACAAGAAGAAATCATGCATAAAGGCGATTGTTCACCTTGATAAATTGAACTCCCCGAAAAGAGATTCTTTTCTGAACTAACTGTGTTGTTTCTAATAATGTTCCGATAGGAAGTTTTCATGAACTAACTATATTTCCTTCACAAAGTTCTGTAAGGAGAGAATTGTCAGCCTACTGCATTAATCAAGCTAAAAATGGGTATCTGGTTATACGTTTCTAAAGTAGGTTTCATTTAACTAAATTTGCTCATTATAAGAAGTTATTTTATTCATTAATTGTGTCCCAAAAAGGACACATCTGATATCTCTTTCAGATAAATCCACGAGTGCTCTTAAGCGTTCATTTCGTTTTCATGTGACTATTCATTGTCATAATTGCAATGAAAAAGAGGAAGTGGCTTTGGGTCAGGTAGCTTCTAGTCCTTTGAATAAAGCTCGCAATTCTCATTACATCTTCAGGTATTCCCTGTAACACCAGTAAAATTCATTAGAACGGATAATGCTGAGTGTCAATTTTTTTAATTTTTAATTTTAAGTTTTGATTACAGCTTGATTCCACACTGTATTTTTGGTAGGGAATTTTCAGCATGTGATATCGGTAGCCCAAATTTTGCAGGCCGACCATAGATATCAGGTGTGAGTCGGCAGGAGATCGAACTCCGGACCATGTGCATGATTTGCGAGAGTCCTAGCCACTGTGCCACCGATGCGAGTGCGTCAGCCAGGCCTCAATAGATATGAGGCCAAAATGCTTTGATTCAAGCAAACGCTGTACAGTCATAGCCCACTGGTGATTATGCACTCAACAATTTTATCATTTTGGAAATAAAAGAAACGATGAACTTAAAAAAATAAGACTAAGCATACAAGCAAAAAACAGTTGTAAGCCTACGTTGTTTTTTTAAAAATCAGACAACAATTACCTTTTTCGAGAGGAAATAAGAACAATAAAAAATAAGGTTTGCCTTTTTTCAGTCAGTTTATTAAATAATAACTTGTAAATTAAATTAAAATGTTTATTAAAACATAAAATATGCATTTTAATTCATCACTCTTTTTTAATTTTATAATTTTTCCGAAAAATAAAGGGATAACTCTTCAGTACAGTAAATTTAAACAATGAATGAAGTGCTTTAATGAAACACATTTCAAATATTAGGCATTCATTCTCAGAGACAGCCATATTCAAATTTATTTACGAAGTAGACAGAAACATCGTAAAATTGTTGACGACTCATTATTTACACTGATGTGGTCTGCTTTCCAAGTAAAACGTAGTGGTTATGCTTTAAAATTCATTTGGTATTTTACCAAAGTGAAGTTGATAATCTTACCTCCAGCCTTTTCTCCTTTTGGACCTTACCATCAGCTAATTAAATGGGTGAGGCATAGGAGTATGTCAGAAGAGTATCAAACACAGACTAGTATCTTGTCAGTGAACCATGGAGTCTTTAGAAAACTATAATTCGCCTTCACTAAAGAAATCTGTTCATCTACCTCAGCAACTTTGAACAAGGTTTGAATCGAAATAATTATTTCACTGTCTTCTGTATTTTCTAAATCTTTTCGTTTAGTAGTTTAGTAGCTGTTATCATCTTAAATACCTTTCTGTTAATTCTGTTCGTTTGCTAGTCACTGTCACTTTCTACTGAAATCTAATTTTTAAAACAGTTTCTCTTTGTACTACTCAATCTCTAGTATTAGTTAATCAAAATAGAATAATAATCATATTATTATTCCCTAGGGTTCCGAGTGGAACATAGTGATTCAACAACGCATCTTTAACTTCCTCTATTTTCTGCCATTCTCTTCAGTTAGGTCCACGATTGCCCTTGATCTCTCATCTATTCCTCACATGATCTCTTCCATATCACCCTCTCGCCAACAACCCACTCATCGTTTCACATACCGATTCCATTTGAATAATGGACTGGGGCGTGCTATCGTTCGATGGTTTCCAGATTGTATCCCTTATCCATCCCCATTTTTTTCTTTCGTGTTTTTTAAATGATAGGCTATTGACTGATTTGTTCCCAGCTAGAAGATCTTGCTACCGGTTCTTTCTGTCCTGCAATTTTGTATTTAGTATACAGCTAGTAAAGGTGGCATTGTTAATAAAAGTCTGGAAACTGTTGGAAACCCCTTCCGTGACAACCAGTGAAAGTTTCCGACCTGTTTGGAAGGACTGACATGATACGGATGTTGAAAATCCGAATGATGTTCGTTGTGCTGAGTCAGTTCACATTCTCAAACTGGTTTCTGGTTGACAAAGGCTTTTCGATGCTAACTGGCTTTCGCATCTTCATCTGTTCTGACTGTCTTTCATAAATTTATAAATATGTAAAATAGTAAAACTGGTAAAACCACAAAGACTGAAAGTTAGCGGAACATAATAAATAGTGAATAAATAATGTAATAAATAACATATATCATAAAAACAATCCTTGTTATGCTTAGGAACTTCGTTACTGATTTAAAAATTATATAAGCTCGTCTCTGACATTTTTTTGTCTATACAAAACCCGTGGTAAATATGATACAGTGGAATATTTATACTTAATTGTGACAGCATGGATTCTAATGTTATGCAAAGAAAAAGTTGTTGATAAGGAGAAAGTTTGAGACCAGACAAGATAACTTTAGTTATCTGCTTGCGAGAGTTAATATGTCCATGAAAAAAAAAACTAATTTTCACTATTTCAAGACATCATAACGATGTTGACGATATTCGGAACTGATTTTGTTTATTTATCAAGCTAGACAAAATCAACTCATAGAAACAAACTTAATTCCGGAAGACTGCAGTTGAACAATCAGGTAAAAACTGTCTTCAGAAAAAGTCCCTTTGTTCATCTACTTGCGTTTATTTCTATGTTTGAGTCGGTTATGCATTATTTTAAATGTCTCAGTGATGCATTTTAAAGGGAGAATATTTTACGTAGAAAAATTCTTCTTCAGTTTCTTACAGTAGCCAGTAAATATTTATTTATTTTATTTTTGATTACAGCTTGATTCCACACCGTATTTTTGGTACAAGTTGGAATTTTCAGCGTGGATATCGGTAGCCCAAAATTCGCAGGCCGACCATAGATATCAGGTGTGCGTCGGCCGGGAATCGAACCCCGAACCATGTGCATAGTCAGCGACCGTCCTAACCGCTGTGTCACCGACGCGGAAATTTTATCAGAAATTGAACTTAGATATAAAAACAAGGTGGATTTACATTATGGTCCAAGAATCACCAGTTACAATTTCTGTCCACTTTTCCGTTTGATTAGACACAGTTAGTAACTTCTGCAAACATTGCAAACTTGACTGATAGAATTCAGTCTGCACCATAGATTGGACTAGACACACTACACTACTTACTAACTAGTCTCCAATCAAAAAATGTCCAACACAGTCCTACAGGTTGTCAATCACCAGCCATAACAGATCAATGGTAAAGTCTCTGACTACAGCACTCACTGGGTGACGCGCGTTCGGATCTCAGAAAGGACATGAGTTCCTTTTAGAGTTATAGATACGCCTTACTAGTGATTGTCAACTAACATGGAACCTAGGTCTTCTTGCCAATTGCTTTTAACTATCTTATACAGTCAGAAACCTTTGATATTCATTTATGAGTGTGTTGACTTCTAATAATGATGCCATATATGATCATTTTTCTTGAAAGGGAATTTTTCCTCTACTCTCTCTTCTATAGTTTTACGGGAAAACACACCTCTACTGGATTGTGCATTAATTTCAGGCATTTTTTTCTTCAAGTTGATCCCTAATTATCGTTTGAAATTTATCAAAATTCAAAGTCACGTCTTGTTTTGTTGTATATGACTTCTAAATAAACATATATCGGTTACACGTGACCAGACTGTCATAAAATTATCCAAGGAAGTGTATCAGTTTGTTTTTAGTGTAT